TTTTTAGAACCCTTGATTATTCTACCTCACCAGTTTTCAAAGAGCAGCCTCCTGCATGCCCCGTGTATTGGAAATTAAACTTTATACCTCAGTAATATTTTTTTTAAACAAAGGCTATTCTGTAGAAATAGTGCTTTTTAAAGTTTTGTCAGGGTGCAAAGCAACCCCAAACTGCTCTGGAGATGGAAAGACTAAAAGAGCTGACAACCCTTTTTACCAGAGATAAGATTTTGACTTTTTAAAAATGTCTTACCAAATTAACTTTTAAAAGATAGCATGGAAGCAGTTTTGTAGCTTTTAAAGGTAAAATAACCAAAATTCATGTTTTAGGGCTAATGAAATAAAATTGACATTTGTAAATTGTGGCGAAGCAAGCCCTTTTGCTAAAGAATTGAGCAACTTTAGTGAAGAAACATACCCCCCCTTTTTTAAACTGTTAACTTTTGTAGCAAAAGAATTTTAACCACCCAGTACTGACATTAAACAAAGTGAGTATAAGCTATACTATCAGACATTTTAAAAATAATGTAAGCATGTTTTTACATTCTAAAAAGATGCTAATATTACTTAATTTCCATAAGTAAATAATTATCATCTCTGTGGCACAACTTAAATAAAGTATCAGAGGGGTAGCCGTGTTAATCTGAATCTGTAAAAAGCAACAGAGGGTCCTGTGGCACCTTTGAGACTAACAGTTAGTCTCAAAGGTGCCACAGGACCTTCTGTTGCAACTTAAATAAAGACTTCAGTAATTTTTTACCTACTTGACTTGCATAGTAAGAAAAAATCCTGAACAAATAGTTTACAAGAATATAAATTGTGAAGAAATAAGTTCCTGGGGAATAGCAATATTATGCAAAACCCTCATGTAAAGAAGGGTTTTACAATTTAAAAAACTGTAAAAAGACATGTCAGAGATTTCTAAGTTTGCTTTTTAGAATTTTGCCTAAATGAATTGACCAGAATATTAAAAAAATCAACAAAATAAAAACTGCTCTACTTGTAAATTGTAACAAAAGTTGTAAAATTTAGGATACAGTGTAAAACCCACAATTGATGATTTTTATAAATAAAAAAATAAAAATTTTAAAAGACAAAAGCCAGAGCTTTGTGACTGCAGGAAGCTTAGGCCTTGGCTACACTTACCCGGTAGTTCGGCGGCGAGCGATCGAACTTCTGGGTTCGACTTATCGCGTCTTGTCTGGAGGCGATAAGTCGAACCCGGAAGTGCTCGCCGTCGACTGCGGTACTCCAGCTCGGCGAGAGGAGTACCGCGGAGTCAACGGGGGAGCCTGCCTGCCGAGTGTGGACCAAGGTAAGTTCGAACTAAGGTACTTCGAACTTCAGCTACGTTATTCACGTAGCTGAAGTTGCGTACCTTAGTTCGAATTAGGGGGGTAGTGTAGACCTGGCCTTAGAGATAAAGCATCTGAAGAAACAGCCCCAACTCTCACCACTCTCTCCCTTCCCCCTCCTATCCTGTCTTTTTTCCCCCTCAGTTGGAAACAGTCATGTTCTTTTGCTAACATACAAATTTTAATCATATCAAGTAAACTTTTTTTAAACCTTTTAAAAGTTTAAGATGTAAAGCAGGCCATAGGGGATAATAGAGCTGTCCTGGATTTTAGGGGAATGTTCATTACTGACTGAAATCTTCTTTAATGAAATAGTTTTGTAGGCAGACATTCTTTTTTAGTTGTCATATTTTGCTTCTAACCCCTGCCCCTCCCTCCTGCATCCCCAACCCCTGACCCTTCTGCGCCCCAACCCCTGCACTATGCCAACTTCGTCCCTAACCCCTGCACTCTCCTCCTGCGCCTATATGGGGCAACTGACCTGCATGCATGGAGCAGCTGGAACTGCTGCTTGTTCCCCCCCTTGAACACTGCTCCTCTGCACCCCCCATAGGAGGCATCTATGACACGGCCTGGGCAGTCCCGAAATTGTTTCTCTCTCAGGAAGTGCATAATGATTCTGTGCACAACTCATACAATTGCATGCGTGATGCTGGTAAACCAAGTGCCAACTCTGGCTAAGGCCACAGGTGTTAGCTAAGAATGGACACACTCATAGCTGGAAACCAGACCAGTTCACCTGTATGTTAATTTTGTTCAAAATAGGTATTAGTCTTGTAAGAATGTATTTCATGTTTAGATGCTATGAACTGCTTGTAAGTTGCTGCCTGCATTAATCTCACTTGTAATGTCGCTATTCCAGGCTATCAGGAAATATGTAAATTTTTCTTTAATATAACTTTGAAAATGTTTGCTCTGAACCTGTACATAACTCTCATTTCTTTTTCCTAGTTAATAAACCTTTAGATAGTTTATTACAGGACCGGCTACAGGCGTTGTCCTTGGTGTAAGTGGTTCTCAAACTTTTTTTTCCCATGGACCACGTGAAAATTGCTGAGGGTCTTGGCGGACCACTTAATGATCTTTCCAAATGTTGTTTGTACCGTTAGCTAACTATTGTAAAGTGCTTTGGATAAAAGCGCTATATTAAAAAAAACTTAATGTTTTTTGTTCTACAAATAAAAGCACACAACTCATATTTTAATATCAATAGTCTTACCTTTCTAATATGATGGATATGCCCTCTCTCCCCGCTGCAGCAGCCCCCGAGCTGGGGCTGGGAAGGAGGGGGGGTCTCTCCCCTGCCACAGCAGCCGCAGAGCTGAGGCTGGGAAGGAGGGCCATCTCTCACCCGCAGCTGCAGCCCTGGAGCTGGGGAAAGTTGCCTCTTTCTCTGGCCGCCACAGCCCTGCATGTAACAAGTTCCCCTCACCCCCTCTTCTCACCCCACTGCCTCCTCCCACCTACCCCCTATTCCCCCCAAGGCCACCACCTCACCTTACATGTGCATCTTCTCCAGGGTCCAGGCACCTAATTAGTGGAGCCATGCCTGCGCGGCTCCACTAATTAGGTGGGTGGCCCTTCATTCTCTAGTTTGCAGCCACCCAGGGAATGGAGGGAACTATCTGCAGACCACCTGAATGGAGCTCACGGACTGAGAACCTCTGATCTAGGATACCAATTGACCTGGGGTAAGTGACTGGGGTCTGGGAGCAACCTAAGTGCCGTGTGATTTTTGGTGTAAGTGTCCATTTATCACTAAGTCCAGTTTGTCTGGTTGGCAAAATAGGCTGGCGAGTCTAAGGGGACTATCCGTGACTCCATGGCAAGACTGATACAGTGATCCAGGAGTTCACATTTGTTACTGGCTTGGTGAAATCTAATTACAGAACAAACCATCAGTGGGTGTCTGCCCTGTTTTTGACAGTCTGCCCCGAGGCAGGCAGTCACAGCCGTGAGCCATGCCAGACAGCCTGACATAGCGATTAAAGAGTGATTAATGGGGAGGCAGGTTAATTCCCTTTAAGTTCATTGACCGATCTCTCTTCTCACAATGACCCTGTGACTCTCTTCCCCAGTGCATGTGACTCTGGATTCAGACACGGCTCATCCTGTCTGTGAATCAGAGACACGTGAGGCTCTGAGACACATGGTAGGACCGGCCCAACAATCCAGATCGAGTTGATCTTGGTGGCTATGACCTGGGCGCTGGGGGGTTCTTCAGCAGGTGGCATTACTGGAAGGTGAGGGTGGGAGACAAGAGTGAGAGGGGACTGGGGGCTTGTAGGGAACCTGTGAGCAGGAAGGGGGTGAGGGGGTCTATCACCTGAGCATGAGTACTGGCTCCTCTGGCTGAAGGGAGATTTTTGCCACCCCCTGGCTCCTTCCCATCAACCCATCTTGGGGGTGGGATTTTCCTGGACTGTGGCATGGGCAAGATCTCATTGTGCAGTGTGACTGGTCAGTCCCATCTCTTCACTTTTACTGCCACCTTCTCTGGGTCGCCCTGTCCTTCCTTCATCGCTTGTGGTGAGTGGGAGGGGTTGGGATGGGGAATGCGGGTCCCTTGGCAATCTGCCTGGTTAGAGAGCAGGGCTGAGAGGCTCTGGCAGTGGGAGTCAGGGTCTTTCGTTTAGATGTGTGAGGGCAGTTCAGATGATCTCAGCTGACATCAGACACACAGGGAAGGGGGCAAGCTCTGTAATACTGAGGATCCACACTCCCATTTCTCTGAACAGGGAATGAAATGCAGTGATAAGGATGCACGGCTCAACACTGAGAAATGATGGATGGCCCCAGGAACCACTATATACCTTATATGTAGGGTCCTACCAAATTCACGGCCATGAAAAAACACGTCACCAACCGTGAAATCTGGTCTTTTGTATACTTTTACTCTATACTATACTATAGGGTAAAAGTATACAAAAATTCACAGCGTTTCTCAAACTGGGGGTCCCGATCCAAAAGAGGGTTGCAAGGTTACTGTAGGGAGGAGTCACATTATTGCCACCCTTACTTCTGTGCTGCTGCTGGCATTGGCACTGTCTTCAGAGCTGGGCCCCAGCTCTCAGGGTGCCCAGCTCTGAAGGCAGTGCAGAAGGAAGGATGGCAATACTGTGAACCCCCTACAATAGCTTTGCGACCCCCTTTTGTGTCGGGACCCCCAGTTTGAGAAATGTTGAGTGTTAAGGGCTTTACATGTTTATATTTTGCCATTTTAAAATACATATTCATGTTTTATTACACCCCCATGAAATTTAAGATTTAAATATCTGAAACTGTGAAATTCAAGATTTAAAAATTTATGAAAATGGACAGTGAATTTGGTAGGGCCCTACTCGTGCATATTCATTCCTGTACTGGCCTCTTGGCACTGAACACTACACTGGAGATGTGAGTGCACCATACAACACTACTGACTGACAGAACAATCATCTGCAGTCACATTATCTGGGCTAATGGAACCCTTCTGCCAGCCAGTGACAACAGCAACAAGGGCCGGATTCAATATCTCGGGTCCCTCTTAAACAATACAAAACAGAACCAGCTACAGCCTCCACCCAGGAATCTGGGAAAACTGAACACCACCTCTGGGTGCTTCTAAGAGGTAGTACTGCCCCACTTGCAAGCACTGAGTCAGTGTAGAACGAAAGAGAACTTTTATTAGAAGGGAAAAGGAACCAAGTGTTAAATGGGGAAAACACCACAACCACATTCCAAGCATGTGACCGCAGTGTGTTGGGCAGTGTCTTTTACCTCAATTTCCCACATTGCAGGGGGAAAGTCCAATGAATGAATGTCCCTTTAACACATCTCACTCACCTCTCCCACTGCTGCACCTCCTCACAGTTGCTGTCCTCAGTCAGCGAAGACCCAGAATTTCGAGGTACATTCATAAAGGTTCACCTCCTCGCCCACAGAAAGGGAGGGAGCATTGAGCTATGTCTCTGCAGTTGCTATGCTCCTCTGCAACTGGCTGCTTGCTACTGCCTCTGGTCACTTCCTGCTGCTGTTGGAGGTTCACTACCACTTCTGTGACACCATGTTCTGAGGTTCCACCGCTTAAGTCAGGTGATTTCAGTGGGTCAGAGGGAACCTCACTGACAGTACAACTTCTGCATTGTCCTTCATTTCACCACTATCCCTGCACTAGGTCCAAGACAACCCCTAGACTGGCTATCAGGGATTCAGCTGTGGTAATGGCTGAGCAGAAATGATAACTCTCAATTGAGTCTAATCAGCTATTTTTAAATCCTGGAGGAGGAAGGATCAAATCGTGCCAGAACTCTTTAAACAGAGTCCACATCACATACAAACCTCTCCCCTTCATAGGGATTTGACATCTCTAGCCCCTGCTTAGCAAGTGAGGTTCAGTTTAGGGTGACCCTTTCAATCAGGGCAGGCTAAGCACAGTTCTGCTGCCCGTTACTTGTCCAATCAGGATAACATTTCATTGCCCCTGCTTTCAAATACTAGAGTGATTTGTAACTCAAAACCATCCAGAACTGATCACTTTGGCAAAGCAGCTCCATCTGCTGCGCACCTAGGCAGAGTAGGCATCAGTGTAAACACAGTCTGCTCCTGAAGTCTTTTCCCCGCAGCTCAGTTCTAGATGTCAGGGGAGAGTTCATTCAGACCCCATTTACATACAGCCTCTGGGTTGTGTTAAACCATCTCTGTGCCTTGAGAGGATGTTTACACTAAGCTGCCCAGAATGATCCCTTGGCCTTTTTCCTTTGTGGTTACAGTTTGTTTCGAGGTGTCTGCCTAACACAAAGTGTTCTTTCCAACATGCTTCACTTTGTTCCTCTCTATGCTGAACTTCACCTGCCTCTGTGCTGCTCAATCACCCAGTAGACTCAAATCCTTGTGATCAGTGAGAATTGTTTAATAGCACTGAAACCCCATCACTTCCTTGCTTCAAAGTGAAATGAGCCGAGATCAGGCATTTTGTGTAACACAGGATAAGTTGTTTGGGATTCATTTTCTCTGCATCTCATTGCTAAAGATGAACAATTAGCTCATACTGAAGAGATGAGCAATTAGCTCATAATGATGAATTTCTTCCAGGAATTGAGCATATTTGCCTGCAATGTAGATCTGCAAATAGATCATGATTCCCTCAGACGTACTGGTTGTTGGATGAGTATCTTTTCGAATTGCTTCACTCTCTGGTTTAATTGCAAATACTCGATAGCTGAACTATCAAGTGTGTTCGTTAGTTGTACTGGGCCATGTAAGTCACATGGTATTGTTTGTTCTTGGCTGGATGATTTTGGATTTAAAATCTGGTTTAACGGATTACTCACATGGGCAACTTGGAAATTCATTTCCACAAACACCTGAGCTAGTAAAGCACAATTGCTTGAGAGCAAATGATCACAAAGGGGCATGAACAGGGCCAAAGAAAACCCAGACACAAATTCAAATAATCTTTGTGGGAAATTGGTTGGCATTATTCTGAGCTCTGATCATTATGGACCAGAACCTCAGCTCTAAGGCACCCTGCTTCCTTCCCCCACTGATCCCCACCCACTGTCCATGTCCTCCACAGGCCCCAGCTAGTCTGCTGGATCTGCTGACACCAGCACTACAACTGCTCTTCAAGAAAACATGTGAGTTTAAGGAATGAAACTTTTATGAACATGTGACAGGCACTGACCAGACCCAGCAGGAAACCAACAACCCAAGAACCCTGCTGGAGGGGAGAGGGTTTGTATGACCCCAGCCCTAAAGCACTGGAGTAGGTGCAGTGGGGATGGAAAGGGGGAGACTTCACTCTAGGGAGCTGGCACCAGTAGTAGGTTTCTTCTCTCTCCCTTGCACCAGATCAGCAGGAGGCAGAGAGACTCAACAGCCCTGAGGAGAGCCAAACCACAAAGCCAAGGGGTCATTGGCCGCTGCCGCTTGCTATGCCATGAAAGGGCAGGCAAAAGGCTGGTGCCATGGGTGGGAATCAGCAGGCAGAGCTGCTGTTCCCATGGATGACCATGCTGGGGGTGGGGGATGGGCAGAACTGCTGTTCCTGTGGCGTCAGTGCCGGGGGTCTCACAGGGATTTCCCGTGCTGGAGTCTCCAGTGGGTGATAACGTTTGAGCTCTGAGTGAAGCTTTTCCCACAGTCGGGGCAGACGTAGGGTCTCTCTCCCGTGTGGATTCTCTTGTGCTTGGTCAAGGCAGAGCTGGTGGTGAAGCTTTTCCCGCAGTCAGGGCAGATGTAGGGCCTCTCTCCTGTGTGCACTCTCTGGTGAGTGGTGAGGTGAGCGAACTGGCTGTATCCCCTGCCACACTCATCGCACCGATAGGGCTTCTCAGCCAGGTGGGTTCTCTGGTGCCTGGCCAGGTACGTGCTGGTGGAGAAGCTTTTCCCGCAGTCAGGGCAGTTAAAGCACTTCTCTGTCTGGTGCGTCCTCTGATGCTTGATGAGGAGGGAGCTGTCAGTGAAGCCTTTCCCGCAGTCGGGGCAGACATAGGGCCTCTCTCCTGTGTGTGCCCTCTGGTGGATCGTGAGCGATGAGCAGTCCCGGAAGCTTTCCCCACAGGCCTCGCACCGATAGGGTCTCTCACCCGTGTGCAGCCGCTGGTGCCTCGTGAGGTTGGAGCTGCTGCTGAATCGCCGCCCACACTCAGTGCAGGGGTAGGGCCTCTCGCCTGTGTGCGTTCGCTGGTGTTTAATCAGGTCTGAGTTCACATTGAAGCTCTTCCCACAGTCCCGGCACCGGTAGGGCCGCTCTCCCGTGTGCAGACGCTGGTGCGTGATGAGATGCGAGCTCTGGCTGAAGCAGCGCCCGCACTCTGGGCACTGGTAGGGTCTTTCCCCCAGGTGTAGTCTCTGATGGGTGATCAGATTTGACCTCAGGCTGAAGCTTTTCCCACAGTCCTCACACGTGTTGGGTTTCTCCCCGAGGCAGAGTCCCCTGTGGATTGTAGAGTCATTGTGTCTCCCCAAATGTTCCCCAGTGTGACCGGGATTCTCCTGTCTCTCTTCTGGGTGTCTTCCCTGCTCCTTCTCTGACCTGCCCTGACTCCCGCAGGCTTCACCCAGCTCGGGGGAAACATCCCCATCAGATCTCCCTGGTCCCGCCTCATGCGGTTCCACTTGCTCAGGACCTTCCTGCTCAGGGTTCTCCTCCTCGCTCTCACTCACCGTCCCATCACCTGCTGGGACAGAGACAGAATCCAGACAGGAGTCATTCCCTGTGCCGGGGGAACAAACCAAAGTAACTACCGGGACTACTGTAAGATCAGTACACCAGAAGCTGAATTCCCCTCCCACCCGTTCCTGAGAGGAGGGGGCAAATTGAACCTACACATCCCATCCAAACACTCCGGGGAAACGCAGCTGTTGCCAGGTGTGAATCAGGGGGCGGGAAGCCGTGAGTGACATCTGCCATGAGGTTATGACACTGGCTGGGGACAATCCTGACCACCCAGGAGCTCATGAGCCCTTCAAGGGAACCTGATTTTTCTTCACTTCCTGTTTTCCCCCAAGCTGGTTTAACTGATTCCTCACCTGTGCAGGCCTCCTTTGCCCTGGAGATCAGACACCATAACTGTTCTCCTCATTCCAGATGGGAGACCACATTGCTTTTCCAAGACCAGGGTGAATTACCTCTTTGTAGGATATTTATCACAGAGAATGTTCCCAGATTTTAACCTCAGCCCATTTCAAAGCAGTGAAATACCTCTGCCAGCTCTCCAGGGTCTCAAAGTCCAGCCACTCTGCTAATGGGGAACTGGACTCCCACATCTCTGCTCAGAAGACACAGCCAGACACACATCATCAAAGGGGCCCCTCAAATACACAGATAGCACGTCTGGATCTCAGAAAGACGAGATCTAACCTGGGACGGAGCTGCATGGATCTGCTTCTCACTGCCAGAGCTGAGCCCAGTGAGAGTGTGAGGAGGGAATCTTGGGGCCCATGAGCACAAGTGCGGGGCTCAGCACAGTGATAATGGGAGGGTTTTGTCAGAGGATGCAGCAGGGCAGGGGAGTGAGATTTCAAGAAACTACATTTTGGGGAATGAATGAACCTAGTGAGTCAGGTTCAGCAGCCACAATAGAAACCGTAACTGGTAACAATAATGAGAGGAAGCACTAAAATCCCCAGGTTCTGTGCATGCTGGAGAAAATTACTCTCTAAATAGTATTAATTATGCATATAGGGCCCTACTGTGCTAGGCACACACACACCTACACACAGCTAGGCACTGTGTACACACACACACACAGCTTAGACACCATGTACACACACAGACACACAAACACACAGCGAGGCACCGAGTACACACATACACACCCACACAGCTAAGCACCGTGTGCACATACACACATGCACGCAGCCAGGCACTGCATACACCCACACACAGAACTAGGCACTATGTGCACACGCACACACACAAAGCTAGGCACCATGTACACACACACACAGAGCTAGGCACTGTATACACACACACAGGGGGGCACCATGTACACACACACACACGCAGTTAGGCACCGTGTACAAACACACTCATATACACACCCAGTCCCTTGCCCTGAAGCGCTTACCATGGCAGAGGTCAGTTTTAAGGAGGAATCTGAAGGGGGACAATGGAGTGGCTTTGTGTAGTTGACAGTGAGCTCCTCTCATGCTCAGAGGACAGTGGGAGTGGGTGAGGGCAGGAAACTTGAGGGCAGTGCAGACTGATGGGCAACATGGCTAGTACAGCTGGCAGAGCAGAGGCGGGATTCTGCCTCTCGGTAACACATCGGAGATGGTGGGTAGGGCAGGGCGAGGCTGTGAAAGGCCTTAAAAGTGACACAAGTTGTTTATATTTGATGCACTGAAGGGAGGTCCCAGGAGGATGTGGGAGGTTCGGGGGGGAGTTACCATAGTGACAGTACAAACCAGGAAGATGATCTTTGTAGCAGTTTTCTGAATGGATGTAACGGACCCAGGATGGCGTTGGTCATGGCCAGAAGGGAGCAGGCTGCAGGCCAGGAACCTCAAGGACATGGCAGCTGAATTGAGGAAGTGCAAGTGTTCCCAAACCAACTCAGCAGGGCTGGTGCCGGCACCCTGGGTCATTTCAATACAACCAGCCTAATTACAAACCAATTAAGTCTCTAATGCAGACAAGGCCACAGGCTCTGGAAGGGGAGGGGATGTGGGCAATAGAGTTATTATTATTCATAGTCAGGTCGTGCTCAGAGACCCCAAGCAGAATCGGGGCCCTGTTGTGCTCAGTACTCCACAAACACAGACAGAGACACTATCCCTGCCCTGAGGAGCAGCTCAGAGTCCAGTTTAAAGCCTGTCTGCTCTGGGGAATTTCAGACTTGCTTACAGCAGGGGTGATCAACACAGCTCTGAAACCAGCTGCTGCTGAGTCCTCTGCACCAGCAATGCCAGTGGGGTGGCTGATCCAGGCACAGCACCATGACACAAGAGATGTTTCAGCTGCTGTGTTCTATGTAAGAAATACACCACTAAGGCTTCTGCACTGCCACCACTAGCTGAAGTGGGGAGAGATCGAAATTAAACTTGTTTAAAATAATAAAAAACAGAGTGGTGACAGTGAATCGTAGTGTTAGAGTATACTTAGATGTGGGCAGTTGTTTATAATTACAGAGGTTTAATAATTAATAAAGATAGTTTTAGGCAGGGTCGCCCAGAGGATTCAGGGGGCTTGGGGCGGAAGGACCCCCCACCGCCGAATTGCCGCCGAAGACCCAGAGCGGAAGAAGCTCCAGGGGCCCGGACCCCGCGAGAGTTTTTCGGGGCCCCCGGAGCGAGTGAAGGACCCAGCTCCAGGGGCCCCGAAAAACTCTCATGGGGGCCCCTGTGGGGCCCGGGGCAAACTGCCCCACTTCGCCCCCCCCCCCGGCAGCCCTGGTTTTAGGTGGTTATGGCTAGCAATAACAAGATAGTGGTCACAAGCAGTCACAGTCAGAGAAATCCAAAATGGAGGTCTGGGAGAGATTTGGCCAATAGCAAGCAGGCAGGCTGAGCAGAAATAAAGGTCACTCCAAAACCTGAAGGGAGTGGTCAGTCAGACAAGAGGCAAGTCTTCAAGCAGGTCAGTCAAAAAAGGCACAAGTTTTCAATTTGGTCCGGCTTTGATTGACAGATAGGTTAGCACCCATGATTGGGCCTTTCCTTTTTATAAACCAATCAGAGAAGGCTAGAATCTGTATTTAAGGCAGAAAACTGGCAGATTTCACTCGGTATGAGGCAAGTAGAAGGTACTAGTGTGTGAGTGAACAGAAGGAAAATCAAGAAGAAGAAGAAAAGAGTTAAAATCACTTAAGAAGAGATAAGCAGTAGCAACACCGATAACAGAACAGAAGGAGCTGTCAGAGAGAAAAGAAGACAGCAGAGAAAGTAAGCAGGATAATCCTCCTATAAAGAATAATTAAACTGTGTGAATGTGTATGCGTAGGGTAATAAAGCTGGATGTTTGTTATGATTTAAATGTGTAAGGATTTGCTATCGGTAGTCTATATGTTTCTGGCCATCACATGTGGAACATAACCACTTGAAGCTATTTTCAGTTGTATGGTATTGCAATTTTCAATACTTTGAAGTGTATCTGTGCTAATAGAGTTTATGCCTTGTTAAGAAAATTTATGGATTCTTTATTCTTTTAACAAATTTGTATTAAGGAATATTGTGCTAAATAAAGAATATTTTTGTCTTCAAAGAATACTGCCTGAGTGTCAATCCTTTGAGAGGAAGCCTGTATCAGTTTCTTTCCAAGGGTCAACAGAGCTAATCTGTTCTGGGGAGTCCTCCAAAGTTTGGAGAGAAACCCCCTGGTAAAACCCTGGCAATGGTCTAGGGTGGGCCATCCCCTTTTACCTACCAAAACCAATAAATTAACAGAATTATTGGGGTAGGCAGGCCATTATGGGGTGCCTCTAATTTTGGAGCTAACAGCCCCACATAGACACAAGACAATGAGTGAGTGTAACTAACAGATTGTTTTAGTCTGAAAACCCAAATCCCTCTTTACAATCAGATGTTTTAACTTCAATAAAGATAAACGAACAAACTGATGCTCCAGCTGCATTTACTTGCACGGTATTTTGGAAAAAGCAAACTTGCAGTGAGGGAGGGACAGGAGATTAGTGCCCTCAGAGATCAGACAGTTAAATGGACAGCGTCAACTTAAAAGCACACTCCTGTCTGAAAATCTCTAACCTGCTGCAGGTGACACCTAATGTCGTGTCAAGGAAGGGTTTAGAGAGCATTTTCTATTTCACCCCAGTCTGCTTTGTGCTAGTGCCAGCACTTGGCATGGAAGTTTCGCTATCTCTTCTGTAGTGTTAGATGTCCTCAAACAGTTATGGGGGAGAGAAAAGCCTTCTGGTTTAAAAAATGGGAAAACAAGGTTGTACAACCACAAAAGTTGGCTGCAGGACTCTAGGCAGGGGCAGTGCCTGGAACTATATGTAACTCATTGTTTGGAAATGGACTTGAGTCCAGGCTGACAGGCCCCAGGGAAATGCCACAGAGATTTCAGAGTTTGTTTAGCCAATTCCTCACCTGCCCATGAGCCTCTTGGACTCTCCATTTCCTCAGCACCCTGGAGATTTGGGACCCACAGCTCTTCCCCTTGTTCCATCTGGAGACCACGCTGGGTTTTGAGAATCAGAAATCCTGCCAAGGGGGAAAGAAACCAGATGAGATCAGGGTGAATTAAACAGCCATGGAATATTTGTTACCAAGAACATTTCATGACTTCAAGCCAGCCCCTTCCTGCACTGAAGGCAGGTGGGATCCAAATGGATCAGAACATGTTTGTGGAGGCTATTTGGGGAGCCAGATATCTAGGGAATGTGTTACACCCCTGGTAGGAGCCTTAGGCATCTCAAAGCACCCACTCTTCTGCAAGGATGCAAACAGCTGTCTGTTCCACGTCCTCCTCAAGCCACCAGCTCACATCAAGGCAGCCTGGCTCAGGTGTGACTTTCATCTGCTCTGTTAATAGTGATTTTCATCTGCTCTGTCTAGGGCCGAGTTAACATTTGCTCAAGTATCAGAGGGGTAGCTGTGTTAGTCTGAATCTGTAAAAAGTAACAGAGGGTCCTGTGGCACCTTTAAGACTAACAGAAGTATCGGGAGCATAAGCTTTCATGGGTAAGAACCTCACTTCTTCAGATGCAAGTCAAGGGGGAGTTTACCCTAAGACATTTCATACACTAGGCCTGGAGTCTGCAATTGCTCATACACATGCTTAACTTTGAGCCCAGTGAGGATTTAGTATTCCCAGGAGAAGGGCCTATGTCAGAGTTGCCAATTCTCACACTGTTACTGTGACTCATGGGATAGCTCACATTTTTCTTAAAGCTGCACCCCACCCCTTGGATTCAAGTGATCAGGTGAGAAACTTGTTTTTTTTTATTTTGGTGAAAACCAAGTTTCTAGCCATTGTGGCTAAGAGAAAAGCTTAAAAACACAAAGTGGGTACACCCTAAAGGTACAGAATCCAGAGGGCAAAGAGAAAAGAAGCAGAATTTCAGTTTTTCAAAAAACCTCATGATTTGTAAGCCAATCTCCTGATTTGGGGGGACTGAGTCATGATTTTTCAACTGCTGGGGCTGGCAATACTGTTTTCTGGCCTTTTTTTGTTGTTATTGACACTGACAGATGTGTCAGCCCTTTGTCTGCAAAGGGACAATTTCTGCTTTATGCTGAAATAGAAATTAAATTTAGAAAACATGAGTAAACCTCAGCACTGGGTTAGTGTCAGGCCTGCTAGAGTATTTTTCGGGAGCAATATCAAACCGTTTGCAGTGAAGTGCAGCTCCCTGGCAGCTTCTTAGCTCATGGGGGGCTGCCTCTACCTTGCCCTTCCTGCCGGGGCCTGGCCTCTACCTCCAGCTGCTCTGCTACAGGAAAGGCTGTTACTGTCACAGTGTTAAAGACTTTCTCCTCCTTTAGGTCCTTTCCAGTCAGGACCCGGAAGCCCTGAACAGACCTCGCTAGGTTGGCAGGGCTGGTGCCTCTGACGTCCCTCCCCACTGATTGTTCCTTCTGGCCCTTCCAGTCTCTCCCCTTGTCTCCCCTCGGAATGGGAGACTCGATCCCGGGCCCGGTCCTGGGGCGTTCGCTCTCCCGGAGCCTGGCTCGGCTCCTGCAGGCGCTTAGGGGGGCAGAGCCGGGGGGGATGTCAGGGAGGGCAGCAGCTCTGGGACTCGCAGACACCCGCCCCCCGGGAGCAGAGCTGGGGCGAGGAGGGGTCGTTGGTGCACTGCAGAGTCACTTTTCTGCCCCGCCCCAGCACTTTCCCCCGTGTCTCTCCACTCACCTGGAGTTTGCGGCTCAAGAGCTGGTGTCTGCAGAGCCCGGGGCTGCCCCAGGGGCTGGTTCCAGCCCCCGGAGAAAGCCACGGTCCCGGAGCGCTGCAGCCCGGGCCGCTTATACAGGGGACAGGAAGGGGTTGGAGTAGCTGCGCGCGGTAGCTGCTGGGTGCTGGGGCGGGGGAGGAAGGGGACAGCGAAGCACTGGAGAGCTGAGCCTTTGCAGCTCCGGCCCGCACTGAAACCTGTTACCAGCTCCTGCCGCCTCTATTGTGAGCCGGGAGCCCAGGTTGAGCCGCTGCTCCTCCCGTGCGGGGTCTGTGCGGGGAGAGCCCTTCCCTAGCGTCCCTCTGTACCGGGGTGGGGGTGGGAAGGAAAATATCTGTCTGTTCTGATTCAACATCCCCACCTGCAGTGTGAGAAATCTGCCAACACACATGGGGGTTTGTAATCCCCCGGCCCTCCAGCTACCGGGATGGTGTGGGGAGAGAGACAACACAATCTTTGGGAAGAAGAAAACAAGCAAAACTGTGTCTTTGTTTTTAGGAAGGAAACACTCCGCAGTGTTCTTAGGCCTCCCCCATACTCCCTGGAGAAGCACAAAAGCGCACAGGCCCTGAGTCGCCTTCCCCTCTCATAGGCCTGGTCTACACTACGAGTTTAGGTCGAATTTAGCAGGATTAAATCGAATTAAGCCTGGACACGTCCACACGACGAAGCCCTTTCTTTCGACTTAAAGGGCCCTTTAAACCGGTTTCTTTACTCCACCTCCGACAAGGGGATTAGCGCTAAAATCGGCCTTTGCGGGTCGGATTTGGGGTAGTGTGGACGGAATTCAACGTTATTGGCCTCCGGGAGTTATCCCAGTGCTTCATTGTGACCGCTCTGGACAGCACTCTCAACTCAGATGCACTGACCAGGTAGACAGGAAAAGCCCTGCGAACTTTTGAATTTCATTTCCTGTTTGCCCAGCGTGGAGAGCACAGGAGACCACGCAGAGCTCATCAGCACAGGTAACCATGATGGAGTCCCAGAATTGCAAAAGAGCTCCAGCATGGACAGAACGGGAGGTATGGGATCTGCTCGCCATATGGGGAGACGAATCAGTGCTAGCTGAACTCTGTAGCAGTAAACGAAATGGCAAAATATTAGAAAAGGTCTCAAAGGCCATGAAGGACAGAGGCCATAACAGGGACG